ATGGGAAAATAAAAAAAAGATTATTTCAGAAAATGGAAAACTGAACATTTAGAAACGTCAAAATTTGAAAAATCGAAATATTTAGAAATCGTCAAATTGAAGAGGATAAAAATTGAGAAATTGTATCATTGAAACTTCGAAAAATTCGAAAATCGAAAAGTTAAAAAAAAAGATGGAAAATCGAAAATTTTAAAAATCCCGAAAATTGAAAAATTGAAATATAGAAGACCAGAAAACTCAAAAAATAAAAAATCTAGAATTTTCAAAATTGAAAAATTAAAATATCGAAAAGTTGAAAAATTGAGAAATCGAAACATAAAACCGCCGAAAATTGAAAAATCCAAAGTTTAAAAAACGAAAAACTGAAAATCGGGAAATCCAGAAGTCGAAAAATCGTAAGCTTATAAAATCAAAAAATTGAAAAATCAAAATCCTGGGAAATTGTAAAATTGAAACATCGCAAACCTGAAAAATCGAACAATTGAAGAATTGAAGAAGTGAAAAATCGAAAATCTGGGAAGAAATGGGCAAATAAAAAAAAAGATTACTTCAGAAATCGGAAAACTGAAAATTTAGAATCGTCAAAAATTCAAAAATTGAAAAATCGAAATATTTAGAAGTCGTAAAATTGAAGAGGTTGAAAATTGAGAAATTGTATCATTGAAACATCGAAAAATTGGAAAATCGAAAAGTTAAAAAAAGAGATGGAAAATCGAAAACTTAAGAAATCACAAATCTAGAATTTTAAAAATTGAAAAATTAAAATATCCAAAAGTTGAAAAATTGAGAAATCGAAATATAAAACAGCCGAAAATTGAAAAATCCAAAGTTCAAAAAACGAAAAACCGAAAATGGGAAATCCAGAAGTCTAGAAATCGTAAGCTTTATAAATCAAAAAAGTGAAAAATCAAAATCCTGAGAAATTGATAAATTGAAACATCGCAAACCTGAAAAATCTAAAAATTGAAGAATTGAAGAAGTGAAAAATCGAAAATCTGGGAAGAAATGGGAAAATAAAAAAAAATACTTCAGAAATCGGAAAACTGAAAATTTAGATAAAAACGTCAAAATTTGAAAAATTGAAAAATCGAAATATTTAGAAATCGTAAAATTGAAGATGATAAAAATTGAGAAATTGTATCATTGAAACATCGAAAAATTGGAAAATCGAAAAGTTAAAAAAAAGATGGAAAATCGAAAATTTTAAAAATCCCGAAAATTGAAAAATTGGAATATAGAAGAATCGAAAACTCAAGAAATCAAAAATCTATAATTTTAAAAATTGAAAAATTAAAATATCAAAAAGTTGAAAAATTGAGAAATCGAAATATAAAACAGCCGAAAATTGAAAAGTCGAAAGTTTAAAAAACGAAAAACTGAAAACCGGGAAATCCAGAAGTCAAAAAATCGTAAGCTTATAAAATCAAAAAATTGAAAAATCAAAATCCTGAGAAATTGAAAAATTGAAACATCGCAAACCTGAAAAATCGAAAAATTGAAGAATTGAAGAAGTGAAAAATCGAAAATTTGGGGAGAAATGGGAAAATAAAAAAAGATTACTTCATAAATCGGAGAACTAAAGATTTAGACACGTCAAAATTTGAAAAATTCAAAAATTGAAAAATTGTATCATTGAAACATCGAAAAATTGGAAAATCAAAAAGTTAAAAAAAAAATGGAAATCCATAAGTCGAAAAATCGTAAGCTTATAAAATAAAAAAATTGAAAAATCAAAATCCTGAGAAATTGAAAAATTGGAACATCGCAAAACTGAAAAATCGAAAAATTGAAGAATTGAAGAAGTGAAAAATTGAAAATTTGGGAAGAAATGGGAAAATAAAAAAAAGATTACTTCAGAAATCGGAAAACTGAACATTTAGAAACGTCAAAATTTGAAAAATTCAACAAGTGAAAAATCGAAATACTTAGAAATCGTAAAATTGAAAGGATAAAAACTGAGAAATTGTATCATTGAAACATCGAAAAATAGGAAAATCGAAAAGTTAAAAAAAAGATGGAAAATCGAGAATTTTAAAAATCCCGAAAATTGAAAAATTGAAATATAGAAGAAACGAAAACTCAAGAAATCAATAATCTAGAATTTTAAAAATTGAAAAATTAAAATATCGAAAAGATGAAAAATTGAGAAATCGGAATATAAAACAGCCGAAAATTGAAGAATCCAAAGTTTAAAAATCGAAAAACTGAAAATCGGGAAATCCAGATGTCGAAAAATCGTAAGCTTATAAAATCGAAAAGTTGAAAAATCAAAATCCTGAGAAATTGAAAAATTGAAACTTCGCAAACCTGAAAAATCGAAAAATTGAAGAATTGAAGAAGTGAAAAATCGAAAATTTGGGAAGAAATGGGAAAATAAAAAAAAAGATTACTTCAGAAATTGGAAAACTGAAAATTTAGAAACGTCAAAATTTGAAAAATTCATAAATTGAAAGATCGAAATATTTAGAAATCTTAAAATTGAAGAGGATAAAAATTGAGAAATTGTATCATTGAAACATCGAAAAATTGGAAAATCGAAAAGTTAAAAAAAAAGATGGAAAATCGAAAATTTTAAAAATCGCGGAAATTGAAAAATTGAAATATAGAAGAATCGAAAACTCAAGAAATCAAAAATCTAGAATTTTAAAAATTGAAAAATTAAAATATCTAAAAGTTGAAAAACTGAGAAATCGAAATATAAAACAGCCGAAAATTGAAAAATCAAACGTTTAAAAAACGAAAAACTGAAAATCGGGAAATCCAGAAGTCAAAAAATCGTAAGCTTATAAAATCAAAAAATTGAAAAATCAAAATCCTGAGAAATTGAAAAATTGAAACATCGCAAACCTGAAAAATCGAAAAATTGAAGAATTGAAAAAGTGAAAAATCGAAAATTTGGGGAGAAATGGGAAAATAAAAAAAGATTACTTCATAAATCGGAGAACTAAAGATTTAGACACGTCAAAATTTGAAAAATTCAAAAATTGAAAAATTGTATCATTGAAACATCGAAAAATTGGAAAATCAAAAAGTTAAAAAAAAATGGAAATCCATAAGTCGAAAAATCGTAAGCTTATAAAATAAAAAAATTGAAAAATCAAAATCCTGAGAAATTGAAAAATTGGAACATCGCAAAACTGAAAAATCGAAAAATTGAAGAATTGAAGAATTGAAAAATTGAAAATTTGGGAAGAAATGGGAAAATAAAAAAAAGATTACTTCAGAAATCGGAAAACTGAACATTTAGAAACGTCAAAATTTGAAAAATTCAACAAGTGAAAAATCGAAATACTTAGAAATCGTAAAATTGAAAGGATAAAAACTGAGAAATTGTATCATTGAAACATCGAAAAATAGGAAAATCGAAAAGTTAAAAAAAAGATGGAACATCGAGAATTTTAAAAATCCCGAAAATTGAAAAATTGAAATATAGAAGAAACGAAAACTCAAGAAATCAATAATCTAGAATTTTAAAAATTGAAAAATTAAAATATCGAAAAGATGAAAAATTGAGAAATCGGAATATAAAACAGCCGAAAATTGAAGAATCCAAAGTTTAAAAATCGAAAAACTGAAAATCGGGAAATCCAGATGTCGAAAAATCGTAAGCTTATAAAATCGAAAAGTTGAAAAATCAAAATCCTGAGAAATTGAAAAATTGAAACTTCGCAAACCTGAAAAATCGAAAAATTGAAGAATTGAAGAAGTGAAAAATCGAAAATTTGGGAAGAAATGGGAAAATAAAAAAAAAGATTACTTCAGAAATTGGAAAACTGAAAATTTAGAAACGTCAAAATTTGAAAAATTCATAAATTGAAAGATCGAAATATTTAGAAATCTTAAAATTGAAGAGGATAAAAATTGAGAAATTGTATCATTGAAACATCGAAAAATTGGAAAATCGAAAAGTTAAAAAAAAAGATGGAAAATCGAAAATTTTAAAAATCGCGGAAATTGAAAAATTGAAATATAGAAGAATCGAAAACTCAAGAAATCAAAAATCTAGAATTTTAAAAATTGAAAAATTAAAATATCTAAAAGTTGAAAAACTGAGAAATCGAAATATAAAACAGCCGAAAATTGAAAAATCAAACGTTTAAAAAACGAAAAACTGAAAATCGGGAAATCCAGAAGTCAAAAAATCGTAAGCTTATAAAATCAAAAAATTGAAAAATCAAAATCCTGAGAAATTGAAAAATTGAAACATCGAAAACCTGAAAAATCGAAAAATTGAAGAATTGAAGAAGTGAAAAATCGAAAATCTGGGAAGAAATGGGAAAATAAAAAAAAAAGATTACTTCAGAAATTGGAAAACTGAAAATTTAAAAACGTCAAAATTTGAAAAATTCAAAAATTGAAAAATCGAAATATATAGAAATGGTAAAATTGAAGAGGATAAAAATTGAGAAATTGTATCATTGAAACATCGAAAAATTGGAAAATCGAAAATTTAAAAATTGAAATATAGAAGAATCGAAAACTCAAAAAATCAAAAATCTAGAATTTTAAAAATTGAAAAATTAAAATATCGAAAAGATGAAAAATTGAGAAATCGGAATATAAAACAGCCGAAAATTGAAAAATCAAAAGTTTATAAAATGAAAAACTGAAAATCGGGAAACCCAGAAGTCGAAAAATCGTAAGCTTATAAAATCAAAAAATTGAAAAAACAAAATCCTGAGAAATTGAAAAATTGAAACATCGAAAAATTGAAGAAGTGAAAAATCGAAACTTTGGAAAGAAATGGGAAAATAAAAAAAAAGATTACTTCAGACATCGGAAAACTGAAAATTTAAAAACGTCAAAATTTAAAAAATTGAAAAATCGAAAAATTTAGAAATCGTAGCGATATTTTAACGAAGCGCACATGATCGCTCTATCTGTTCAGTAAAAGCACTAAAACAGGTATTAGAAGCATAATGGTTATGGACAGAAGGGTCAAAATCAATTATCAACAATGCACAAAACGCCGTTCACCCACACATGCGCTAAACACTCACCGAGTCGTTGGGGTAAGCGATGTCCCTCACGTTCAACCTGTTCAAGGGCATGAAAGTGACCTCCCCCGGCAGCTTCTGCCGATTCATCTCCTTCAAAATCTGGGTCCCGACCTTGTCCGAATCGATGACGTGGTGGAACAACCGATTGCCGGCTGTCACTTCGACGGCCGTGTAGATGCTCTTCTCGCAGTCAAAATTCTCGATAACCGGACCGTAGTACGACCTCGCGATCTCCGCTTCCCGTCCTCCCCTGCTCACGAAGGTGTCCAAGACCTTCCTCACGCTATCGCGTCCGTTCAAAATCGGCTTTCCCGCCATGGACCTCAGCTGCTGGTCCGCTTTCGCCAAATCTTCCTTCAACGAAGACAAATTCTGCTGGACGTTGTTCTCTTTGCGCCACAATTCGTTCCTCGTCGCCTGGTACTGGTCTTTGTTCTTCTTCAGTTCGTAGCACTGCTTGTTGTGTTCATCGATGCAGTTCTTCTGACGCTCCAGTTCCTGGCTTTGTTCCTCGATTTTCTTGGTTAGTTCTACTGTCTTGGCGGCGTCGCGTTTCAAGTCGGCCTCCAGTTTGTCCCTGTGGTCGCGCTTGTCCTTCAGTTGCTTGTTTAACGATTTGAGTTCGTTCTGGATCCACCTGTCGCGGTCATCTTTTGACGTGAACTGGCTTCCGCGACCTTGCTTAGCGTACAGTTCTTTGCGTTTCTGCTCCTTCAGCGCCAATTCTCTCGTACATTCTTCTTCGCGTTTCTTCATCGCTTCATACTGAGGCTTCACTTTCTCCAGTTCGGCTTCTTTTTCTTTGATCGATTGCGTCAAACGCGCCAGTTCGTTCTCGGCTCGCTCCTTCGACTTGTTGTCGCCTTGCACCTCCTCGCTCAAGTCCTTGATGGTCAAATCCAGCTTCGCTTTCTCTTTGATGAGGTGCTGCTGATCGTTGCTCAAAATGTCCCGCTCTTCTTTCAAGCTCGTCAACTCCTTTTTCGTCTCTTTGGTTTTCTTCGTGTAAACCTTAATACTATCTTGGGCTTTCTTTAAGTTCGCCGCGAGCTTCTCCTGCTCGTTCCCGCTCTCGTTCCTCTGCTTCTCCAAATCGGCGAGCTTTCTCTTGTTCTCGTTCAACTCCACCTCGTGGATGATGTACTCCAAGGTGCGTCGGATTTTGTCGTAGTGTTGGTACTGCTTCAACTCCTCTTTCTCCTCTTCCAAAGTACTCAGTCGCTCTTCGATCGTTCGCAAGAACTCCTCGATTTTCTCAACTTTGCCTTCGGTTTCTCGCAAAATTGCCATGGATTCGTCTCTTCGTTCGTCGTAAACTCGGGTGCCTGCGACTTCTCGGAGGAGCTTCAGGCGATGAGCGTCTGGAGCGGTCGCCATCTGGTTAATTTTTCCTTGTTTGACGATGTAGTACGGGTTGGAATTCGAAAAACCAGCCGATTCTAACAAATTCATCACTTCGCTCCGAGGCACGACTTTCTTGTTGAGGAAATACTGGTCTTTTTTTGCGCCGATGACACGACGGAGGTAGATTTCTTCGTGTTCTATCTGGAATTTTTAATTAGGGGGTTTTACTTAAATTTTGTTGTTTGATTTCCGTTTCCGTCTGTCAAAAAAGGGATGATTAACCACATTTTGGTTAACGTTTTATCATCGACACGATATTCCTAATATACATATAAAATTTGACAATAATCGGTATAGTAGTTTTGGGGATAATAAAAATCCGAACAGAAGGCAGACAGACCGACGGAAACGGGAAACCTATTTTGTCGTACTCTGGATGTCATGAAACGTCGAGAAAACAAAAAAGTAACCAGTCGTCCAATGGCTTGGTTACAATACTTAGCAAGTAGAAATATAAAATTTGAATATTTATTTCAGAAAATACAAAACCCACTGTTCTGAAAACTTGTAGACGTTTTCAGGGTGCTGTAAACCGATAATCAAAATTTATTTTTATCCCTTCCAAGACTCTCTGACGCAATCAAGGGAGTGGTAAATATTTTTTAAAATTCACGAACAGACGTAAATGGAAAACTTGTAGTTTCGTGTTTTTTAAATCCCTTACAAGTTTTTGATTCTCTCTAGAAATATCCAAAAAGAATATACATGACGGGAGAGAAAAACAAATATCAAAAATTCTGGTGTCACTTTTATTTTAAGTGTAACTTATAATTAACTTTAAATTTCGAAAATTGAAAAATTCAAATATAGAAGAACTGAAAACTTAAAATATCGAAAAGTTGAAAGATTGTGAAAACCGAAAGTTCAAAAAGCGAAAAATTGAAAATCCAAAAAGTAAAAAGTGGAGAAATCGAAAAATCCAAAAGTCGAAATACTAAAAAATCCCAAAATTGGAAAATCGAAGAATCGAAAAACTGAGAAAACTCACAAAATTGAACGAAATATCCAAAAATTGGGAAATTAAAAAATTTAAAAATTGGGAAATCGAAAAGCCGAAAAATTGCAAACCTAAAGAATCGAAAAACTGAAATTTCGAAACCTTCGCAAGTCGAAAATGGGAAAACCAAAAAATAGATTAACTGAGAAATTTAGAAACGTCAAAACTTGAAAATTAAAAAAATTGGAAAATTGAAAAATCGAAAAATTGAAAAATCGAAATTTCAAAAAGTGAGACAATCAAAACATCGAAACATCCGAATCTCGATAAATCGAGTTCTCAAAAAATTGAAAAGTGTAAAAAACGAAAAACTGAAGAATTGAATAACTGAAAAATCGAAACTGCGAATTCGAGAAACGGTAAAATAAAAAATATATATTAATTGAAAAATCGGAAAACTGAAAATTTAGCAACGTCAAAATTTGAAAATCTTGAAACATTGAACAATTGAAATATCACAAAATTGGAAAATGGAGAAATCCAAACATCAAAGAATCAAGAAAGAAAAAATCGAAAAACTGAAAAATTGACAAATCCAAACTCCAGAATTTAAAAAAAATGAAAAATCGGATAACTGAAAAATTGGAAAATCGAAAAACCGAGAAATCCAAAAATCGAAACATCGAGAAAAAGAAAAAAAAATTGAGAAATTGAGCAATCAAAACATCCAAGCATCTGAATTCGATAAATAGAGAAATAAAAAAATTGAATAATTTTAAAAAAGAAAAATGAAAACATCGAAAAGTTGAAAAAAAATTAAGGAATCGAACTACAAAACTGTCGAAAATTTGAGAAATCTAAAGTTTAACGAAAAATTGAAAATCCAAAAACTAAAAAAGGGGTGGAAGCCCAAAAACCGCAAACTGAAAAATGTGAAAATTGGAAAATCGACGAATTGGAATCGTTTGGCCCGAAAATTTGAAAAATTGAATAAACGAAAAATTGGAAAATCGAAAGAAACAACAAAAATTAAGGAAATGAAAAAACAAAAAATTGTGATATAAAATCGAGAAAATGAGAAATAAAAAATCAGGAAAATGCAAAATAAAAAGTTGAAATATTGAGGGGACGGAAAATTGAAAAAGGGCACAATTAAAAATCGAGAATGTGAAAAATGGAAAAAGGAGAAATTGTAATATTGAAAAATTGGAAAATTTGGAAGTCGACAAATTGTAAAATTGAAAAATCAAAAATAAAAAAACGAAAAAGTGTATAATTAAAACCTAAAAAATGTACAAATTGAAAATCAAACTTGAAAATTTGAAGAAAAATAGCTAAAAACCTGAAAATATGAAAAATTTAATAAAGGAAAATTGTGATATAAAATCGAAAAAGTGAAAAGTAAAAAATTGGGAAAATGAAAAATAAAAATCGGAAACAAAAAATTGGAAAAGGGAAAAATGAAAAATTGAGAAAGTGAAAAATCGAAAAATGAAAATCTGTAATACTGAAAAATTGCCAAATTGAAAAACTGATGCAAACCGAAAAATTGAAGGAACGAAAAATTGAAAATTTTGGAAGTCGAAAAATTGTAAAATTGAAAAATCAAAAATAAAAAACGAAAAATTACGAAATGAAAACTTGAAAAATTTTACGAATCGAAAAACTGAAAAATAAAAAAAAAATATGTATTATGAAATAGAAATATTTAAAATTAAAGAAATAGGAAAATCGGAAGAGTGTAAATCCAAAAACTGCAAAGTGAAAAATTTAAAAATTGAAAAATGGACGAACTGAAAATTCAAAGTCTGAAAATTTGAAAAATTGAACAAATGAAAAATTGTAAAATAAAAAAAAAACACAGTAAATACAGGAAATGAAGAAACGGACAATTGTGATATAAATCGAGAAAATAAAAATTAAAAATTCGCCACAATGAAAAATAAAAATCGGGAACATGAAAAATTGTGGAAACGAAAAATTCAGAAACTGAAAATTTGAAAAATTGAAGAAACGAAAAATTGAAAACTCGAAAGAAACAACAAAAAATAAAGGAATTGAAAAAATGAAAATTTGTGACATAAAATCGAGAAAATGAAAATTAAAAAAATTGGGAAAATGAAAAATAAAAATCGAGAACTTAAAAATTGAGGAAACGAAAAATTGAAAATGACAAAAATTAAAAACTGAGAATGTGAAAAATCGAAAAATGAGAGACTGTAATATCGAAAAACTGGAAAATTGGGAGTCGATAAATTGTAAAATTGAAAAATCAAAAATAAAAAAACGAAAAAGTGTATAATTAAAACCTAAAAAATGTACAAATTGAAAATCAAACTTCAAAATTTGAAGAAAAATTGCTAAAAACCTGAAAATTTGAAAAATTTAATAAAGGAAAAATTGTAAAATCGAAAGAAACAACAAAAAATAAAGGAAATCAAAAAAAGGAAATTTGTGATATAAAATCGAAAAAGTGGAAATAAAAAAATTGTGAAAATGAAAAATAAAAATCGGAAACAAAAAATTGGAAAAGGGAAAAATGAAAAATTGAGAAACTGAAAAATCGAAAAATGAAAATCTGTAATATTGAAAAATTGCCAAATTGAAAAACTGATGCAAACCGAAAAATTGAAAATTTTGGAAGTCGAGAAATTGTAAAATTGAAAAATCAAAAATAAAAAGCGAAAAATTACAAAATGAAAACTTGAAAAATGTTAAGAATCGAAAAAGCGAAAAATCAAAAAACAAATATGTATTATGAAATAGAAATATTTAAAATTAAAGAAATTGGAAAATCGGAAGGCTGGAAATCCAAAAACTGCAAAGTGAAAAATTTAAAAATTGAAAAATGGACGAACTGAAAATTCAAAGCCTGAAAATTTGAAAAATGGAACAAACGAAAAATTGTAAAATCAAAAAAAAAAAAAACACAGAAAATAAAGGAAATGAAGAAACGGACAATTGTGATATAAATCGAGAAAATAAAAATTAAAAATTCGCCACACTGAAAAATCAAAATCGGGAACATGAAAAATTGTGGAAACGAAAAATTGAGAAACTGAAAATTCGAAAAATTGTAGAAACGAAAAATTGAAAACTCGAAAGAAACAACAAAAAATAAAGGAATTGAAAAAATGAAAATTTGTGACATAAAATCGAGAAAATGGAAATTAAAAAAATCGGGAAAATGAAAAATAAAAATCGAGAACTTGAAAAATTGAGGAAACGAAAAATTGAAAATGACAAAACTTAAAAACTGAGAATGTGAAAAATCGAAAAATGAGAACTGTAATATCGAAAAATTGGAAAATTTGGAAGTCGATAAATTGTAAAATTGAAAAATCAAGAATAAAAAAACGAAAAAGTGTATAATTAAAACCTAAAAAATGTACAAAGTGAAATCAAACTTGAAAATTTGAAGAAAAATTGCTAAAACCTGAAAATTTGAAAAATTTAATAAAGGAAAAATTGTAAAATCGAAAGAAACAACAAAAAATAAAGGAAATCAAAAAAAGGAAAATTGTGATATAAAATCGAAAAAGTGAAAATTAAAAAATTGAGAAAACGAAAAATAAAAATCAGAAACAAAAAATTGGAAAAGGGAAAAATGAAAAATTGAGAAACTGAAAAATCTAAAAATGAAAATCTGTAATACTGAAAAATTGCCAAATTGAAAAACTGATGCAAACCGAAAAATTGAAGGAACGAAAAATTGAAAATTTTGGAAGTCGAGAAATTGTAAAATTGAAAAATCAAAAATAAAAAACGAAAAATTACAAAATGAAAACTTGAAAAATCTTAAGAATCGAAAAAGTGAAAAATCAAAAAAAAAATATGTATTATGAAATAGAAATATTTAAAATTAAAGAAATTGGAAAACCGGAAGACTGGAAATCCAAAAACTGCAAAGTGAAAAATGGACGAACTGAAAATTCAAAGCCTGAAAATTTGAAAAATTGAACAAGTGAAAAATTGTAAAATCAAAAAAAAAACACAGAAAATAAAGGAAATGACGAAACGGACAATTGTGATATAAATCGAGAGAATAAAAATTAAAAATTCGCCACACTGAAAAATAAAAATCGGGAACATGAAAAATTGTGGAAACGAAAAATTCAGAAACTGAAAATTCGAGAAATTGAAGAAACGAAAAATTGAAAACTCGAAAGAAACAACAAAAAATAAAGGAATTGAAAAAATGAAAATTTGTGATATAAAATCGAGAAAATGAAAATTAAAAAAATCGGGAAAATGAAAAATAAAAATCGAGAACTTAAAAATTGAGGAAACGAAAAATTGAAAATGACACAAATTAAAAACTGAGAATGTGAAAAATCGAAAAATGAGAAACTGTAATATCGAAAAATTGGAAAATTTGGAAGTCGATAAATTGTAAAATTGAAAGATCAAAAATAAAAAAACCAAAAAGTGTATAATTAAAACCTAAAAAATGTACAAAGTGAAAATCAGACTTGAAAATTTGAAGAAAAATTGCTAAAAACTTGAAAATTTGAAAAATTTAATAAAGGAAAGATTGTAAAATCGAAAGAAACAACAAAAAATAAAGGACATCAAAAAAAAGGAAAATTGCGATATAAAATCGAAAAAGTGAAAATTAAAAAATTGGGAAAATGAAAAATAAAAATCGGAAACAAAAAATTGGAAAAGGGAAAAATAAAAAATTGAGAAACTGAAAAATCGAAAAATGAAAATTTGTAATACTGAAAAATTGCCAAATTGAAAAACGGATGCAAACCGAAAAATTGAAAATTTTGGGAGTCAAGAAATTGTAAAATTGAAAAATCAGAAATAAAAAACGAAAAATTACAAAATGAAAACATGAAAAATCTTAAGATACGAAAAAGTGAAACATAAAAAAAAATAAATATGTATTATGAAATAGAAATATTTAAAATTAAAGAAATTGGAAAATCGGAAGACTGGAAATCCAAAAACTGCAAAGTGAAAAATTTTAAAATTGAAAAATGGACGAACTGAAAATTCAAAGCCTGAAAATTTGAAAAATTGAACAAATGAAAAATTGTAAAATAAAAAAAAAAACACAGAAAATAAAAGAAATGAAGAAACGGACAATTGTGATTTAAATCGAGAAAGTAAAAATTAAAAATTCGCCACACTGAAAAATAAAAATCGGGAACATGAAAAATTGTGGAAACGAAAAGTTGAGAAACTGAAAATTCGAAAAATGGAAGGAACGAAAAATTGAAAACTCGAAAGAAACAACAAAAAATAAAGGAATTGAAAAAATGAAAATTTGTGACATAAAATCGAGAAAATGAAAATTAAAAAAATCGGGAAAATGAACAATAAAAATCGAGAACTTGAAAAATTGAGGAAACGAAAAATTGAAAATGACAAAAATTAAAAACTGAGAATGTGAAAAATCGAAAAAATGAAAAATATAATAAATTAAATGTTTTGTCAACACTACTTATAGTTTAAAAACGTAAACATTCATATAAGAAAAAAGTTTAGTGGTCACAAAAAAGGGGGTTGCATGTACAGTACATTTCATTTTATTAGTTATAATTATAATTAATATATAATTGTCAATGCCCATTTTGAGGTTATGAATGAATTGAAATTTGAATTAAGAGTCTATACTTTTGACAAGTTAACAGCTATGGTATTGTTTTTATGTACTGAATCAACGTAAACTTGAAAACGTGACTTTTGACGATTTTGCCAACATAAATTTGAATTATTCTTCACTATGTTGCAAATTATCCCAGAACTATGAAACATCCTATATATCTTAACCTAGAAAACTGATTCTCAGAGTGACAGTCAGCCACTCGTCCTTTTTTCTTTAACCTTGGACGATAACCTCACACCCAGACACAATTAACCATCAACTTATGAAACTCTTATTGTCTAAAATACATACAGGGACACGGGCATCCGAATTGTCGAAGATAATTTCCACGTACGCCGAGACGACCCGTGGACCGGTGCCTTCGTGGAGAAGAGCTTGGCGCTGCTCTGGACGCAAATGCGAGAACTCATCGCTTAAAACGAACTGAATTGCTGCAAAACAAGCCTGTATATGAGTCGGCATACTTTAAAAATTTACCATAGAAGAAGTTGCTTTTGCCTGAACCATTGCGACCCACGACCACGTTATGTCGTTTGTCGAACGGTTCCACGACTGTCTGGTCTCGGTAGCTCTTGAAACCCTGGATAATCACCTAGGGGAGAAGCAAAGTGACGCTTACACTTTGAGGTTATGAGAATAAAATAGGGTTTAGTTACCTGTTTTATGTGCATTGTGGTTTGTGTGGGGCACGGAATGAGTTTATCTGTTACAGGTTTTTGTTAAGTCTTAAATTTAGAAATGTTGGAAATATAAACATCAACAACTGTTGTTTGCCTCCATTTTGCGCACGTTTTGACTTCTGACTTCTGACAAGTAGGAAGTGTTGCCAACTAGGGAACTTCTAGAATTGAAGAATGTATTTTTTTCATTATGAACATACCGCTGACGAGAAAATAAATTATGAAATTATCGTGGTCAGAGGGAATGAAATTATTTAGTTTAGTTTAGTTTTTTTGCTGCAATCTTGAGACGACAGAGCTGCACCATAGATTAATGTAGATGCGACATACAGGCTGATTTTGCAAAACCACCCTTATTGACATTGGAGTCCTCAAGCGTCAAATTTAAATAGTCGACGCCAATAAAAAAAACTTGTTTCACTACAACTCGTCGCCTGAGAACTTGTTTGATCTGCAGACCAGAGCGCGCTCAGGCCAATGTCGACTCTAAGCGTTCAGAAGCGATTTGGTTGGTTTGGACTATAATTTCTGCGGAAATAGTTGTTTGGTCGGTTTTTATAACGACTAAGCGAATATTTTTGGTACATATTTAGATGATTTTACATATTTTGTTTAACTAAGAATTAATTCTTTATTTGTGTTTTATACTAGCAAAACGTCTTAAACTAAGAATATTGTTGAAATCGTAATAACCCAATGGATTTTTTCGGGAAAATGTTTTGGACACTGTGTTCTATTTTTCATGAATTTGTTTAGTGACAATTTTTGTGGTTGTTTTTGATACATTGTATGATATTAACAGTGAGAAAAAAATGAAAAATTAAAATAATCGAAAATTCCAAAAATCGAGAAATCTAATAATCGAAAAATCGAAACCCTAAATATTGAAGAACTGAAAATCGAAAAATGAAACATCAGAAAATCGAAAAAATGTAAAATTTAAAAACCGAATAACAAAAAATCGAGAAATCGAAACTCCCAAATTTAAAAAATCGGATAACTGAAAAATCGAAACATCGAAAAACTGGAAAATCGAAAAACCGAGAAATCGAAAAATCAAAAGATCAAGAAATCGTGGGGTCGAAAAGTCGAACAATTGAGAAACCGAAATAGGCCAAAATCGAAAAATGGAAAAGTTAAAAATTGAACAATTTATAAATTGGAAATTGACAATCAAAATATCGAAAAATCCAAATCTCGATAAATCGAGAACTCAAAAAACTTAAAAATTCGAAAAATTGAAAAATTGAGAGATTGAAAGATCAAAAGAACGAGAAATCGAAAAGTGATGAAGTCGAAAAATAGAGAAATCGACAAACAAAAAGTTAAAAATTGAAAAATTGGAAAGGCGAAAAAATCAAAAAACGAAAAAATGGAAAACTGGAAAAACTGAGAAACCTACGAGGTAAGCGCCAAATATTCTCGGCCTGATATATTTGCGATTGCTCATCGGGAAATTTGTACAACTCATAGAAGACTAGAGGGTCCCCGCAGTATGTGTGTAAAATTTCAAGCCCTACTGCCCATTAGTTTTGATACATTTGAGGAGTAATCTTTGAAAAATTATGGACTCATCATGCCTGTTTAAAATTGAAAATCGAACGGCAATAAAATTCTTAGCAAAAGATGGAATTGCTCTAAAGGGTATTAAGGGCAGGATGGTTTTTGTGTTTGCTGAAGCTTGTCCTTCACATTTTACTAAAAAAAATGATTACAGTTATTTCGCATGGGGTAAGAAACCCTTGAAGACGAATCAATCTTCCAAAAAAATCATGGCCACAATTTTTTGGGACTGTAAAGGCATGTTGTTGATTAATTTTAAAGGATGAAATACCACTGTCAACGCTACATATTATGGTTACTTATTGCATAAATTAGGAGAACGTATTTGGGAAAAAAGGCCGAGAAAATTAGCAAGAGGCGTTCGATTGCTTCATGACAATGCGCCCGTTCATACCGCATGTCTTTCTCAAGCTGCTATAGGGGCCTGTGACTTCGAGTAACTTGAGCACCCACCCTACAGTACTGACTTAGCTTCGAACGATTATTAACTGTTCTCTAAGTTAAAAAACGACTTGCAGGGAAAACGTTTGGGACGGATAAAGAAGTGCAAACGGCAGTACTACATCATTTTAGTGATAAAGATTCAAATAATTTTTTTAAACGGATAGAGCTGTTAGTTGAACGTAGTTTTGAATGTATTGAAGTTAACAGAGACTATGTTGAAATATAAATATTTAATTTTTTTCCATCAGGTCTCTTTCTTTGTTAGGCCGAGAATATTTGGCGCTTACCTCGTAAATAAGCCAAAATAAAAAATTGAAAAACTGATAAATCGAGAACTTGAATAATCTAATCTCGATAAATTGGGAATGAAAAATTAAAAAATCGAAAAATTTAAAAACAGATCATCTAAAACCAGGAAGTCGAAAAACCGAAAATTAAGAAACATTGGAAAATTAAAATATCAAAAGATTGAAAAATCTAAAATTTAAAAATTCAAAAATTGAAAAATCGAAAAAGTAAAAAGGTAGACACATCGAAAAATCCAGGTGTTAACAATCGAAAAATCTAAAACCGGGAAGTCGAAAAATCAAAAGATTAAGAAATCGAAACATTTGAAAAATTCGAAAACTTAAAAAATTCAAATATCGAAGAAATGAACTAAAAAATCGAGGAATCGAAAAATCTAAAATTTAAAAAATAAAAAAATCTATAATTGAAAAATCTAAAAATTAAAATTATCGACACATCGAAAATTCCAGGAGTCAAAAATCGAACTGTCGAAGAATCGAAATATTGAAAAATCCCAAAACTGAGATATCGAAAAACTGAAAAATGGAAAACCTGAAAAACTGAGAACCTAAAAAGTCGAAAAATTGAGCAACCGAAAAATCCAAAAAGTGAAGTCGAAAAATTGAAAAACAGAACATCTAAAACCAGGAAGTCGAAAAACAGAAAGATTAAGAAATATTGAAAAATTAAAATATCAAAAGATTGAAAACTCTAAAATCGAAAAAGTAAAAACGTAGACACATCGAAAAACCCAGAAGTCAAAAATAGAGAAGCCGAAGAATTGAAATATTGAAAAATCCTAAAACTGAAATATCTAAAAACTGAAAAATTGAAAAATCAAAAAAGTGAAATCGAAAAATAGAAACCTTAAAAAATCGAAAAATTAAAAAATCAAAAACCTGAAAAATCAAAAAATATAAGAATTGAAGAACAGGAAAATCGAAACGCTCGAAGGTCAAGAAATGCGAAAATCAAAACATCAATTAATTGAAAAATCGAAAAACTGAGAGTTCATAAAAGTCAAATTTGAAAAATTGAAAAATCGAAAATTTGAAAAAACGACAATTGAAAAACAGAAAATCTAAAACCCGGAAGTCGAAAAATCAAAAGATTAAGAAATCGAAACATTTGAAAAATTCGAAAACGTGAAAAATTCAAATATCGAAGAAATGAACTGAAAAATCGAGCAATCGAAAAATCTAAAATTTAAAAAATTAAAAAATCTAAAATTGAAAAATCGAAAAAGTAAAATAATCGACACTTCGAAAAGTCCAGGAGTCAAAAATCGACAAGTCGAAGAATGGAAATATTGAAAAATCCCAAAACTGAGATATCGAAAAACTGAAAAATGAAAGAAAAACTGAAAATGGAAAACCTGAAAAACCCGAAAACTGAAATATCCAAAAACTGAGAACTTAAAAAGTCGAAAAATTGAGCAACCGAAAAATCCAAAATGTAAAGTCGAAAAATAGAAACTTAAAAAAACCTAAAAAATGAAAAATCGAAAAATTAAAGAATTGAAGAACAGAAATATCGAAACCCTCTAAAGTCAAGAAATGGGAAAATCAAAACATCGATTAATTGAAAAATCGAAAAATTGAGAGTTTATGAAAATCAAATTTGAAAAATTAAAAAATCGAAAATTTGACAAAATGACAATTGAAAAACAGAAATCTAAAACCGGGAAGTCGAAAAATCAAAAGATTAAGAAATCGAAACATTTGAAAAATTCGAAAACGTGAAAAATTCAAATATCGAAGAAATGAACTGAAAAATCGAGAAATCGAAAATCTATAATTTAAACAATAAAAAAATCTAAAATAGAAAAATCCAAAAAGTAAAATAATCGACACATCGAAAAATCCAGGAGTCAAAAATCGAAAAGTCGAAGAATGGAAATATTGAAAAATCCCAAAACTGAGATATCGAAAAACTGAAAAATGAAAGAAAACCTGAAAATGGAAAACCTGACAAATCCGAAAACTGAAATATCCAAAAACTGAGAACCTAAAAAGTCGAAAAATTGTGCAACCGAAAAATCGAAACTTTATAAAAAGTAAAAAATGAAAAATCGAAAAATTAAAGGATTGAAGAACAGGAATATCGAAACCCTCGAAAGTCAAGAAATGGGAAAATCAAAACATCGATTAATTGAAAAGTCGAAAAATTAATATGAAAGTCAAATTTGAAAAATTGAAAAATCGAATATTTGACAAAATGACAATTGAAAAACAGAAAATCTAAAACCGGGAAGTCAAAAAATCAAAAGATTAAGACATCGAAACATTTGAAAAATTCGAAAACGTGGAAAATTCAAATATCGAAGAAATGAACTGAAAAATCGAGAAATCGAAAAATCTAAAATTTAAAAAATAAAAAAATCTAAAATTGAAAAATCTAAAAAGTAAAATAATCGACACATCGAAAAATCCAGGTGTTAAAAATCGAAAAGTCGAAGAATCGAAATATTGAAAAATTTCAAAACTGAGATATCGAAAAACTGAAAAATGAAAGAAAAACTGAAAATGGAAAACTTGAAAAATCCGAAAACTGAAATATCCAAAAACTGAGAACCTAAAAAGTCGAAAAATTGAGCAACCGAAAAATCCAAAAAGTGAAGTCGAAAAACCGAAACTTTAAAAAAAGTAAAAAATGAAAAATCGAAAAATTAAAGAATTGAAGAACAAGAATATCGAAACCCTCGAAAGTCAAGAAATGGGAAAATCGAAACATCGATTAATTGAAAAATCGAAAAATTGAGAGTTTATGAAAGTCAAATTTTAAAAATTAAAAAATCGAAAATTTGACAAAATGACAATTGAAAAACATAAAATCTAAAACCGG